ATCTTCACATCTGTTCACCCACACATGTTCACATCTTCTGTTCACCCACACATGTTTACTGCATCTGTTCACCCACACATGTTTACTGCATCTTCACATCCACACATGTTTACTGCATCTTCACATCACATCTGTTCACACCACACGTTTACTGCATCTTCACTGCATACTGCTTCACATCTGTTCACCACACACTGCATCTTCACATCTGTTACTGCATCTTCACATCTGTTCACCCACACATGTTTACTGCATCTTCACATCTGTTCACCCACACATGTTTACTGCATCTTCACATCTGTTCACCCACACATGTTTACTGCATCTTCACATCTGTTCATCCACACATGTTTACTGCATCTTCACATCTGTTCACCCACACATGTTTACTGCATCTTCACATTCACCCCATTAGATGTATAGTGAACTATATGATTAGATGTACTGTGAACTACAGAATCAGATTTACAGCTAACTATATATTGTCAACAGACTATACTGAGCTGCATGACTGGATGTATAAGGCTAAGCTCACAAGTACACATCTGAAAGAGTACATACTTTTCTTTGTAAACTTTCCTCTAGACCGGATATACGCAGTTCTGCCTTCTTGAGGGCCGCCTCTAACCGCACCATGTCAGATCTGGTGGATTTCTTGATTTTCTCAATATCTTCATTAGCTCTGTCACAGAGAAACAGACCAACTGTCAGCCACAGGGATAAACATGGGACATACATACACAAGGATATACACAGCATACAAAGGGACAGACATGAGACACACACACACACATGGATAAACATGGCATAGACACACACACACATGGATAAACATGGCATAGATACACACACACATGGATAAACATGGCATAGACACACACACATGGATAAACATGGCATTCACATACACATGGATAAACATGGCATACGCATAGACATGGATAAACATGGCACACACATACGCATAGATAAACATGGCACACACATACGCATAGATAAACATGGCACACATATACGCATGGATAAACATGGTACACACATACTCAAGGTTAAACATGGCACACACATAGGCATGGATAAACATGGCACACACATACACATGGATAAATATGGCATACACACACATGGATAAACATGGCATACACATACGCATGGATAAACACGGCACACACATAGGCATGGATAAACATGGCACACACATACGCATAGATAAACATGGCACACACAAACCCATGGATAAACATGGCACACACATACGCATGGATGAACATGGCACACACACATGGATAAACATGGCACACACATACGCATGGATAAACATGGCACACACACATGGATAAACATGGCCCACACATACTCATGGATAAACAAGGCATACACACATGGATAAACATGGCACACACACATGGATAAACATGGCACACACATGGATAAACATGGCACACCCACATGGAAAAACATGGCACACACATGGATAAACATGGCACACACACATGGATAAACATGACACACACACATGGATAAACATGGCACACACACATGGATAAACATAGCACACACACACATGGATAAACATAGCACACACACATGGATAAACATGGCATATACACATGGATAAACATGGCATACACACATGGATAAACATGGCATACACACATGGATAAACATGGCACACACACATGGATAAACATGGCATACACACATGGAAAAACATGGCACACACACATGGATAAACATGGCACACACACACACACATGGATAAACATGGCACACACACATAGATAAACATGGTGCACACATACAGGGATAGACACTGCACACACACAGGGATAGACATGGCACACACACAGGGATAGACACTGCACACACACAGGGATAGACACTGCACACACACAGGGATAGACACTGCACACACACAGGGATAGACACGGCACACACACAGAGATAGACACTGCACACACACAGGGATAGACATGGCACACACACAGAGATAGACACTGCACACACACAGGGATAGACATGGCACACACACAGGGATAGATAGACACTGCACACACACAGGGATAGACATGGCACACACACAGAGATAGACACTGCACACACACAGGGATAGACATGGCACACACACACAGGGATAGACATGGCACACACAGGGATAGACATGGCACACACACAGGGATAGACATGGCACACACACAGGGATAGACATGGCACACACACAGGGATAGACATGGCACACACACAGGGATAGACATGGCACACACACAGGGATAGACACTGCACACACACAGGGATAGACATGGCACACACATGGATAGACACACACACACACAGGCACTACACACACAGGGATAGACCATACACACACACAGGGATAGACACTGGCACACACACACTAGACACACACACACAGGGATAGACATGGCACACACACAGGGATAGACATGGCACACACACAGGGATAGACACTGCACACACAGGGATAGACACTACACACACACAGGGATAGACACTACACACACACAGGGATAGACACTGACACACACACAGGGATAGACACTACACACACACAGGGATAGACACTGCACACACACAGGGATAGACACTACACACACACAGGGATAGACACTACACACACACACACACACAGGGATAGACACTACACACACACAGGGATAGACACTACACACACACAGGATAGATACACACACACACAGGGATAGACACCACACACAGGGATACACACAGGGATAGGACACTACACACACACACAGGGATAGACACTACACACACACACAGGGATAGACACTACACACACAGGGATAGACACTACACACACACAGGGATAGACACTGCACACACACAGGGATAGACACTACACACACACAGGGATAGACACTACACACACACAGGGATAGACACTACACACACACAGGGATAGACACTACACACACACAGGGATAGACACTACACACACACAGGGATAGACACTGCACACACAGGGATAGACACTACACACACACAGGGATAGACACTGCACACACACACAGGGATAGACACTACACACACACAGGGATAGACACTACACACACACAGGGATAGACACTACACACACACAGGGATAGACACTGCACACACACAGGGATAGACACTGCACACACAGGGATAGACACTGCACACACACAGGGATAGACACTGCACACACACAGGGATAGACACTGCACACACACACAGGGATAGACACTACACACACAGGGATAGACACTACACACACACAGGGATAGACACTGCACACACACAGGGATAGACACTGCACACACACAGGGATAGACACTGCACACACACAGGGATAGACACTGCACACACACAGGGATAGACACTGCACACACACACAGGGATAGACACTACACACACACAGGGATAGACACTGCACACACACAGGGATAGACACTGCACACACACACAGGGATAGACACTGCACACACAAGGGATATACTACACACACAGGGATAGACACACACACACAGGGATAGACACTGCACACACATAGACAGGGATAGGGACACTGCACACACACAGGGATAGACACTGACCACACACACAGGGATAGACACTACACACACACACAGGGATAGACACTGCACACACACAGGGATAGACACTACACACACACAGGGACACACACACAGGGATAGACACTACACACACACAGGGATAGACACTACACACACAGGGATAGACACTGCACACACACACAGGGATAGACACTGCACACACACAGGGATAGACACTGCACACACACAGGGATAGACACTGCACACACACAGGGATAGACACTGCACACACACAGGGATAGACACTACACACACACAGGGATAGACACTACACACACACACAGGGATACACTACACACACAGGGACACTGCACACACACACACAGGGATAGACACTACACACACACACAGGGATAGACACTGCACACACACACAGGGATAGACACTACACACACACACAGGGATAGACACTACACACACACACAGGGATAGACACTGCACACACACACAGGGATAGACACTGCACACACACACACAGGGATAGACACTGCACACACACACAGGGACATAGGGATAGACACTGCACACACACACAGGGATAGACACTGCACACACACAGGGGATACAGGGATAGACACTGCACACACACACACACAGACACTACACACACAGGATAGACACACACACTAGACACACACACAGGGATAGACACTGCACACACACAGGGATAGACACTAGACACACACACAGGGATAGACAGACACACACACACACAGGGATAGACACTACACACACACACAGGGATAGACACTGCACACACACAGGGATAGATAGCACACACACAGGGATACACACACACAGGGATAGACACTGCAGACACAGGGATACACACACAGGGATAGACACTGCACACACACACAGGGATAGACACACACACACACACACAGGGACACTAGACACAGGGATAGACACACACACACAGGGATAGACACTGCACACACACACAGGGATAGACACTGCACACACACACAGGGATAGACACTGCACACACACACAGGGATAGACACTACACACAGGATAGACACACACAGGGATAGACACTGCACACACACACAGGGATAGACACTAGACACACACACACAGGGATAGACACTAGACACACACACAGGGATAGACACTACACACACACAGGGATAGACACTGCACAGACACTAGACACACACACAGGGATAGATACTACACACACACACAGACACACACACACACACAGGGATAGACACACACAGGGATAGACACTACACACAGGGATAGACACTGCACACACACAGGGATAGACACTGCACACACACACAGGGATAGACACTACACACACAGGGATAGACACTGCACACACACAGGGATAGACACTACACACACACACAGGGATAGACACTACACACACACACAGGGATAGACACTACACACACAGGGATAGACACTGCACACACAGGGATAGACACTACACACACACACACAGGGATAGACACTGCACACACACAGGGATAGACACTACACACACACACAGGGATAGACACTGCACACACACAGGGATAGACACTACACACACACACAGGGATAGACACTGCACACACACAGGGATAGACACTACACACACACACAGGGATAGACACTGCACACACACAGGGATAGACACTGCACACACACACAGGGATAGACACTGCACACACAGGGATAGACACTGCACACACACATGGATAGACATAGCACACACAGGGATAGACACTGCACACACACAGGGATAGACATAGCACACACAGGGATAGACACTGCACACACACAGGGATAGACACTGCACACACACAGGGATAGACACTGTACACACACAGGGATAGACACTGCACACACACAGGGATAGACACTGCACACACACAGGGATAGACACTGCACACACACAGGGATAGGCATGGCACACACACAGGGATAGACACTGCACACACACAGGGATAGACATGGCACAGACACAAGGATAGACATGACACAGACAGGGATAAGCCATGACACACACAGGGATAAACATGACACACACGGAGATAAACATGACACACACAGGGATAAACATGACACACACGGAGATAAACATGACACACACGGAGATAAACATGACACACACGGAAATAAACATGACACACACAGGGATAAACATGACACACACGGAGATAAACATGACACACACAGAGATAAACATGACACACACGGAGATAAACATGACACTGACAGAGATAAACATGACACACACTGGGATAAACATGACACTGACAGAGATAAACATGACACACACTGGGATAAACATGACACTGACAGAGATAAACAGGACACACACTGGGATAAACATGACACTGACAGAGATAAACAGGACACACACTGGGATAAACATGACACTGACAGAGATAAACATGACACACACTGGGATAAACATGACACTGACAGAGATAAACAGGACACACACTGGGATAAACATGACACTGACAGAGATAAACAGGACACACACTGGGATAAACATGACACTGACAGAGATAAACAGGACACACACTGGGATAAACATGACACTGACAGAGATAAACAGGACACACAGGAGCATAAACATGAAACACACAGTACACAAAGTGATGTAAGCAATGTGATGACAGAACACAAAGTCAGGATGACAATGGACAAGCTGACAACCACTAACTTATCCAGTTTGTCTTCAGCCTGTGACCTCAATGCTTGCAACTTCATCTCAGATTTCTTCAGCTTGGTCTGCAAGTCTTCCACACACTGCTTGAGTTGTTCTTCATTCTGTGGCATGTACAATCATGTGTGAGAAACAACAATCATACAGGACAAACTACAAACAGAAACAATCATGTGTGAGAAACAAAAAAAACATACAGGACAAATACAAACATGAACAATCATGTGTAAGAAACAAAAATCATACCAGACAAACTACTAACAGGAACAACCATGTGTAAGAAACAACAATCATATGTGACAAACTACAAACAAGAACAATCATGTGTAAGAAACAACAATCATATGTGACAAACTACAAACAATGTGACAAACTACAAACAAGAACAATCATGTGTAAGAAACAACAATCATATGTGACAAACTACAAACAGGAACAACCATGTGTAAGAAACAACAATCATATGTGACAAACTACAAACAAGAACAATCATGTGTAAGAAACAACAATCATATGTGACAAACTACAAACATGAACAACCATGTGTAAGAAACAACAATCATATGTGACAAACTACAAACATGAACAACCATGTGTAAGAAACAACAATCATATGTGACAAACTACAAACAAGAACAATCATGTGTAAGAAACAACAATCATATGTGACAAACTACAAACAGGAACAACCATGTGTAAGAAACAACAATCATATGTGACAAACTACAAACAAGAACAATCATGTGTAAGAAACAACAATCATATGTGACAAACTACAAACAACAACAATCATGTGTAAAGAAACAATCATATGTGACAAAACATATGTGACAAGAAACAACAATCATATGTGACAACAAACAAACATAAGAAACAACAATCACCATGTGTAAATCATACCAGACAAACTACAAACAAGAACAACCATGTGTAAGAAACAACAATCATATGTGACAAACTACACACATAAACAATCAGGCGTGAGAAACTACAAACAACTTCAATTCTTCGCGAGAAACTGCGCACATGTACAGTTATGTGTGAGAAACTAAACTCCTTCACAATAATGTGTGACAAAATGCAGATATTTACAATCACGTGTGATAAAACTACAAACATTTACAATCACGTGTGATAAAACTACAAACATTTACAATCACGTGTGATAAAACTAAAAACATTTACAATCATGTGTGATAAAACTACAAACATTTACAATCACGTGTGATAAAACTACAAATATTTACAATCACGTGTGATAAAACTACAAACATTTACAATCACGTGTGATAAAACTACAAACATTTACAATCATGTGTTGGTGTCTATGGCTTGGCTGCTGGGTTCGATTCCAACTGTGAGCAATTTTAATTTCCAGTCCTATTCCAGAACCTGAGTGTTGAGTGTGCATCCGTTTTACAGATATGGCTCCTGTGTATGTAGACTGCTGGTTCCTTGCCTCTCAGGCAGATGCATTTCAACTTTCAAGGAAGCTCCCAATTAGTCGACTCTTAGGACATGCTTTTGAGTAGGCAGTGGGTCTATTCTTGTTTTCACTATAACAGAACTCCGCAACCCACAAGAGGAAGCTGACCATTCAGAAATGATGGCTAACTATTGAAAGTAAAATTGTTTTGTAAAATCACAAACAAATACACCCCAACAACAACAAAAGAAGCTGAGAATGGTTCTGCAATGTCCTAACAACTAACTTACATAATATACAATCATATGTGGGTAAGTGGAAACATATACAATCATGTATAAAAAAAGACAGCATATAAAAGTCCTCATTCAATATATGTCATCTTCCAACACATGTCATCTCCCAACACATGTCATCTCCCAACATATAAAACAACTAACACATGTTCTCATTCAACATATAAAACAACTAACACATGTCCTCACTCAACATATAATAAAACTCAACATATTTCCTCAACAGATGAAACAACTCAACATACAATACAACTCAGTTTGACTTCACTCTACACATGACCTGACTCAACAGATGAAACAACTCAACATACAATACAACTCAGTTTGACTTCACTCTACACATGACCTGACTCAACATGTCAAACAAGTCAAGCGTCTAGACAAACTGACCCGCTTGAAGCCTTCAATGATGGACTTGCTCTTCTCATATCGTCGGTGTAGATCTGAGAATGCTGTCTCCACAGATTGCAGATCTTCTATGGCCTGATGGAGAGAGAAAGCATCCTTAGCCAAATACAAGATCCATAGATACAAATGTCAATATCATGAGACACATTACACACTCGAAGGTGTCAACACCAGCAGTAAGTTTACAGGTGTCAACACCAGGAGTAAGTTCACAGGTGTCAACATCAGGAGTAAGTTCACAGGTGTCAACACCAGCAGTAAGTTCACAGGTGTCAACACCAGGAGTAAGTTCACAGGTGTCAACACCAGGAGTAAGTTCACAGGTGTCAACATCAGGAGTAAGTTCACAGGTGTCAACACCAGCAGTAAGTTCACAGGTGTCAACACCAGGAGTATGTTCACAGGTGTCAACACCAGGAGTAAGTTCACAGGTGTCAACACCAGGAGTAAGTTCACAGGTGTCAACACCAGGAGTAAGTTCACAGGTGTCAACACCAGGAGTAAGTTCACAGGTGTCTACACCGAAAATAAGTTCACAGGTGTCAACACCAGGAGTAAGTTCACAAGTGTCAACACCAGGAGTAAGTTCACAGGTGTCAACACCATGGAAGTGGAAAACTTCAGTGCCCTCACCTTTTGTGTCCTGTCAGATATTTTCATCACTTTACCTTTTTGGGCGACACATCAAGTGTTCTGACACAGCAAACCTGAGGGATACATCATTGCTGGATGTCTGTAGATATTTTAATGCTGTGATAACTGTTACATGGAAATGACAGTGTCACCATCACTCACATAAGGAGGTGACTGTCAGACAGAAATGTGGACAGAAAACACAATGTGGCTACAACCTGGAGCTCACCAAGTCTGCAAGCACACACAGATCTCTTTAGACAAGACTGGGCCAAACCCTTTGTGCCTCTCACCATGTAAACATCCCACACACAAACTGTAAACATGATTATAAAAGTGTGAAAAGGTTGTTCACTACACCCATCCACAAACTGTGAACATGACTATAAAAGTGTGGTAAGGTTGTTCACTCCATCCATCCACAAACTGTGAATATGACTATAAAAGTGTGGTAAGGTTGTTCACTCCACCCATCCACAAACTGTGAACATGATTATAAAAGTTTGGTAAGGTTGTTCACTACACTCACAAACTGTGAACATAATTATAAAAGTGTGGTAAGGTTGTTCACTACACCAATCCACAAACTGTGAACATGACTATAAAAGTGTGGTAAGGTTGTTCACTACACCCATCCACAAACTGTGAACATAACTATAAAAGTGTGGTAAGGTTGTTCACTCCACCCATCCACAAATTGTGAACATGATTATAAAAGCTCTGCAAGAATGTTTACCTGATCGCGTTCACTCTCCAAACTCTGGACTGTTTTATGTGAGTCTGTTTTTGTCTTTTCCTTTTCCGCTGCAAGTGAGACAAGGAAGACAGGCATATGGTTCAGATTTTTACAAACGTGTGATTAGTTAGGATTATAACCAGTGCTCTCCTGAAAGATCCACAGGTGCTCTGCCTGCCACAGAGAACTCCCAAACACTGCCACAGACAACTCCCAAACACTGCCAAAGACAACTCCCAAACACAACCAGAGACAACTCTCAAACACTGCCACAGACAACTCTCAAACACTGCCAGAGACAACTCTCAAACTCAGCCAGAGACAACTCTCAAACACAGCCAGAGACAACTCTCAAACACAGCCAGAGACAACTCTCAAACACTGCCACAGAAAACTCTCAAACACTGCCAGAGACAACTCTCAAACACTGCCAGAGAAACTCTCAAACACAGCCAGAGACAACTCTCAAACACAACCAGAGACAACTCTCAAACACAACCAGAGACAACTCTCAAACACTGCCAGAGACAACTCTCAAACACAGCCAGAGACAACTCTCAAACACTGCCAGAGACAATTCTCAAACACTACCAGAGACAACTCTCAAACACTGCCAGAGACAACTCTCAAACACAACCAGAGACAACTCTCAAACACAACCAGAGACAATTCTCAAACACTGCCAGAGAAACTCTCAAACACAACCAGAGACAACTCTCAAACACAACCAGAGACAACTCTCAAACACAACCAGAGACAACTCTCAAACACAGCCAGAGACAACTCTCAAACACAGCCAGAGACAATTCTCAAACACAACCAGAGACAACTTTCAAACACTGCCAGAGACAACTCTCAAACACAGCCAGAGACAACTCTCAAACACAACCAGAGACAACTCTCAAACACAGCCAGAGACAACTCTCAAACACAACCAGAGACAACTCTCAAACACAACCAGAGACAACTCTCAAACACAACCAGAGACAACTCTCAAACACTGCCAGAGACAACTCTCAAACACAGCCAGAGACAACTCTCAAACACAGCCAGAGACAACTCTCAAACACAGCCAGAGACAACTCTCAAACACAGCCAGAGACAACTCTCAAACACAGCCAGAGACAATTCTCAAACACAGCCAGAGACAACTCTCAAACACAGCCAGAGACAACTCTCAAACACTGCCAGAGACAACTCTCAAACACTGCCAGAGAAACTCTCAAACACTGCCAGAGACAACTCTCAAACACTGCCAGAGACAATTTTCAAACACTGCCAGAGACAACTCTCAAACACAGCCAGAGACAACTCTCAAACACAGCCAGAGACAACTCTCAAACACAGCCAGAGACAACTCTCAAACACTGCCAGAGACAACTCTCAAACACTGCCAGAGACAACTCGCAAACACTGCCAGAGACAACTCGCAAACACTGCCAGAGACAACTCTCAAACACTGCCAGAGACAACTCTCAAACACTGCCAGAGACAACCCTCAAACACAGCCAAAGACAACCCTCAAACACAACCAAAGACAACTCTCAAACACAGCCAGAGACAACTCTCAAACACAGCCAGAGACAACTCTCAAACACAGCCAGAGACAACTCTCAAACACTGCCAGAGACAACTCTCAAACACAGCCAGAGACAACTCTCAAACACTGCCAGAGAAACTCTCAAACACTGCCAGAGACAACTCTCAAACACTGCCAGAGACAACTCTCAAACATAGCCAGAGACAACTCTCAAACACAACCAGAGACAACTCTCAAACACTGCCAGAGAAACTCTCAAACACAACCAGAGACAACTCTCAAAAACAACCAGAGACAACTCTCAAACACAACCAGAGACAACTCTCAAACACAGCCAGAGACAACTCTCAAACACAGCCAGAGACAATTCTTAAACACAACCAGAGACAACTCTCAAACACAGCCAGAGACAACTCTCAAACACAACCAGAGACAACTCTCAAACACTGCCAGAGACAACTCTCAAACACAGCCAGAGACAACTCTCAAACACAACCAGAGACAACTCTGAAACACTGCCAGAGACAACTCTCAAACACTGCTGAGACAACTCTCAAACACTGCCAGAGACAACTCTCAAACACCGCCAGAGACAACTCTCAAACACAGCCAGAGACAATTCTCAAACACTGCCAGAGACAACACTCAAACACAAGCAAAGACAACTCTCAAACACAGCCAGAGACAATTCTCAAACACTGCCAGAGACAAATCTCAAACACTGCCAGAGACAACCCTCAAACACAACCAAAGACAACTATCAAACACAGCCAGAGACAACTCTCAAACACAGCCAGTGACAACTCTCAAACACTGCCATAGACAACTCTCAAACACTGCCAGAGACAACTTTCAAACACAGCCAGAGTCAACTCTCAAACACTGCCAGAGACAACTCTCAAACACTGCCAGAGACAACTCTCAAACACTGCCAGAGACAACTCTCAAACACTGCCAGAGACAACCCTCAAACACAAGCAAAGACAACTATCAAACACAGCCAGAGACAACTCTCAAACACAGCCAGAGACATCTCTCAAACACTGCCAGAGACAACTCTCAAACACTGCCAGAGACAACTCTCAAACACTGCCAGAGACAACTCTCAAACACAACCAGAGACAACTCTCAAACACAGCCAGAGACAACTCTCAAACACTGCCAGAGACAACTCTCAAACACAGCCAGAGACAACTCTCAAACAAAACCAGAGACAACTCTCAAACACTGCCAGAGACAACACTCAAACACAGCCAGAGACAACTCTCAAACACTGCCAGAGACAACCCTAAAATGTAGCTAGAGACAACCCTAAAATGTAGCTAGAGACAACCCTAAAATGTGTAGCCAGAGACAACCCTAAAATGTAGCTAGTCAACCCTAAAATGTAGCTAGTCAACCCTAAAATGTAGCTAGAGACAACCCTAAAATGTAGCTAGAGACAACCCTAAAATGTAGCTAGAGACAACCCTAAAATGTAGCTAGAGACAACCCTAAAATGTAGCTAGAGACAACCCTAAAATGTAGCTTGAGACAACCCTAAAATGTAGCTAGAGACAACCCTAAAATGTAGCTAGAGACAACCCTAAAATGTAGCTAGAGACAACCCTAAAATGTAGCTAGAGACAACCCTAAAATGTAGCTAGAGACAACCCTAAAATGTAGCTAGAGACAACCCTAAAATGTAGCTAGAGACAACCCTAAAATGTAGCTAGAGACAACCCTAAAATGTAGCTAGTCAACCCTAAAATGTAGCTAGTCAACCCTAAAATGTAGCTAGTCAATCCTAAAATGTAGCTAGTCAACCCTAAAATGTAGCTAGAGACAACCCTAAAATGTAGCTAGTCAACCCTAAAATGTAGCCAGAGACAACCCTAAAATGTAGCCAGAGACAACCCTAAAATGTAGCTAGTCAACCCTAAAATGTAGCTAGACAACCCTAAAATGTAGCTAGTCAACCCTAAAATGTAGCTAGAGACAACCCTAAAATGAAGCTAGTCAACCCTAAAATGTAGCTAGAGACAACCGTAAAATGTAGCTAGTCAACCCTAAAATGTAGCTAGTCAACCCTAAAATGTAGCTAGTCAACCCTAAAATGTAGCTAGAGACAACCCTAAAATGTAGCTAGAGACAACCCTAAAATGTAGCTAGAGACAACCCTAAAATGTAGCAAGTCAACCCTAAAATGTAGCTAGTCAACCCTAAAATGTAGCTAGACAACCCTAAAATGTAGCTAGTCAACCCTAAAATGTAGCTAGAGACAACCCTAAAATGTGGCTAGAGACAACCCTAAAATGTAGCTAGTCAACCCTAAAATGTAGCTAGAGACAACCCTAAAATGTAGCTAGAGACAACCCTAAAATGTAGCTAGAGACAACCCTAAAATGTAGCTAGACAACCCTAAAATGTAGCTAGAGACAACCCTAAAATGTAGCTAGAGACAACCCTAAAATGTAGCTAGAGACAACACTAAAATGTAGCTAGTCAACCCGCAAATTTGTAGCCAGAGACAACCCTAAAATTTAGCTAGAGACAACCCTAAAATTTAGCTAGAGACAACTTTCAAACCCACAGCTGTGAAAATATAAAAAAAAAAAAAATTAACTAATCAGTACATCAAACTATGTTATGTGAGAATAGGAGCACAATAATCAGATAACAATGAATCAAAATGATGCCTAGATGAAAATTGGCACACACACTATTAGGCACAATCCACAAGAGAACACCTAAACGTTGTGTGGTCATTTCGGTCACAGGTGTCAGGGAAAGTCAAGGCCATTGTGAGGTGTATGTGCCTCAGCTCGGGCACCAGCAGGCTCTATGCTGGTTTGTCATTGTGAGGTGTATGTGCCTCAGCTCGGGCACCAGCAGGCTCTATGCTGGTTTGCCATTGTGAGGTGTATGTGCCTCAGCTCGGGCCACCAGCACTCTATGCTGGTTTGTCATTGTGAGGTGTAAGTGCCTCAGCTCGGGCCCAGCAGGCTCTATGCTGGTTTGCCATTGTGAGGTGTATGTGCCTCAGCTCGGGCACCAGCAGGCTCTATGCTGGTTTGTCATTGTGAGGTGTATGTGCCTCAGCTCGGGCACCAGCAGGCTCTATGCTGGTTTTGTCATTGTGAGGTGTATGTGCCTCAGCTCGGGCACCAGCAGGCTCTATGCTGGTTTGCCATTGTGAGGTGTATGTGCCTCAGCTCGGGCACCAGCAGGCTCTATGCTGGTTTGTCATTGTGAGGTGTATGTGCCTCAGCTCGGGCACCAGCAGGCTATATGCTGGTTTGCCATTGTGAGGTGTATGTGCCTCAGCTCGGGCACCAGCAGGCTCTATGCTGGTTTGTCATTGTGAGGTGTATGTGCCTCAGCTCGGGCACCAGCAGGCTCTATGCTGGTTTGTCATTGTGAGGTGTATGTGCCTCAGCTCGGGCACCCAGCAGGCTCTATGCTGGTTTGTCATTGTGAGGTGTATGTGCCTCAGCTCGGGCACCAGCAGGCTCTATGGCTGGTTTGTCATTGTGAGGTGTATGTGCCTCAGCTCGGGCACCAGCAGGCTCTATGCTGGTTTGCCATTGTGAGGTGTATGTGCCTCAGCTCGGGCACCAGCAGGCTCTATGCTGGTTTGTCATTGTGAGGTGTATGTGCCTCAGCTCGGGCACCAGCAGGCTCTATGCTGGTTTGTCATTGTGAGGTGTATGTGCCTCAGCTCGGGCACCAGCAGGCTCTATGCTGGTTTGTCATTGTGAGGTGTAAGTGCCTCAGCTCGGGCACCAGCAGGCTCTATGCTGGTTTGTCATTGTGAGGTGTATGTGCCTCAGCTCGGGCACCAGCAGGCTCTATGCTGGTTTGTCATTGTGAGGTGTATGTGCCTCAGCTCGGGCACCAGCAGGCTCTATGCTGGTTTGTCATTGTGAGGTGTATGTGCCTCAGCTCGGGCACCAGCAGGCTCTATGCTGGTTTGTCATTGTGAGGTGTATGTGCCTCAGCTCGGGCACCAGCAGGCTCTATGCTGGTTTGCCATTGTGAGGTGTATGTGCCTCAGCTCGGGCACCAGCAGGCTCTATGCTGGTTTGCCATTGTGAGGTGTATGTGCCTCAGCTCGGGCACCAGCAGGCTCTATGCTGGTTTCATGGACCTGGTGTCAGATTCCTGCTACATGTTCTCAGCATGCGCAACAGCTAATGGTCTATATCGGCCTAAAGAAAGCTGACGGGGGATATCAGAGTTGGTGACCATCAGAGCAGCTAACCCCCTCTACATGGATGATAACATACATGTGAAACTTTTCAGGAACATAAGTGTGAATTCTGCTGGCCGTGTACTCAACTAAATGACAATCCCAGGTTCATGAGTCTTTTGTCCCAATATCCTACTATTTGACGACCTTGGTTCAAATGCCTATTGGCTGACACTCCTACACATGGTTGCTTAGGTTCATAAGACTTTCGACAGACACTCCTACATATGCTTGCTTAGGTTCAAATGTCTGTCGACTGACACTCCTACAGATGGTTGCTTAGGTTCAAATGTCTGTCGACTGACACTCCTACATATGGTTGCTTAGGTTCAAATGTCTGTTGACTGACACTCCTACATATGGTTGCTTAGGTTCAAATGTCTGTCGACTGACACTCCTATAGATGGTTGCTTAGGTTCATAGGACTTTCGACAGACACTCCTAGGTATGGCTGCTTAGGTTCATAGGACTTTTGACAGACACTCCTAGGTATGGCTGCTTAGGTTCATAGGACTTTCGACAGACACTCCTAGGTATGGCTGCTTAGGTTCATAGGACTTTCGACAGACACTCCTAGGTATGATTGCTTAGGTTCAAATGTCTGTCGACTGACACTCCTACAGATGGTTGCTTAGGTTCATAAGACTTTGGACAGACACTCCTAGGTATGGCTGCTTAGGTTCATAGGACTTTCGACAGACACTCCTAGGTATGGCTGCTTAGGTTGAGTGTCGGCCAGATTCCCTGGACACTCCTTGCAGCACCATTCTCTTCAGACTGTGATGATTGGGCAAGTATAAGCACTCAGACCCCATCTTCAGTATATCCCCCAGAATGGGTCGACAGATAACACCAGTTCTGTGTCGGTTCACTAATCCTCTGTGGTTGCCAGTATAGCGTTCATGTTTGGCAAAACTAGTTCTGTATCCATTTACTAATCGCCTGTGGTTGCCAGTATAGCGTTCATGTTTGGCAAAACTAGTTCTGTATCCATTTACTAATCGCCTGTGGTTGCCAGTATAGCGTTCATGTTTGGCAACAAATGTTCTGTGTCCATTTACTAATCGCCTGTGGTTGCCAGTATAGCGTTCATGTTTGGCAACAAATGTTCTGTGTCCATTTACTAATCGTCTGTGGTTGCCAGTATAGCGTTCATGTTTGGCAACAAATGTTCTGTGTCCATTTACTAATCGCCTGTGGTTGCCAGTATAGCGTTCATGTTTGGCAACAAATGTTCTGTGTCCATTTACTAATCGTCTGTGGTTGCCAGTATAGCATTCATGTTTGGCAAAAAATGTTCTGTGTCCATTTACTAATCGTCTGTGGTTGCCAGTATAGCGTTCATGTTTGGCGACACCTCTTCTGACCTGAAGTTCTTGCAGTCTTTTCAGTGTTGCCGACTCACCAATGTATTAAATCATCTTCTTATCCTGCCTCCTTCAATGCACTGACAATGTCAGCCTGGTCCATTGCTTTCCCTGGACCTACCATGACGGTATCAGCAAGCCAGTCAGCTCGTTCATTCACTCTTACCTCAGAGTGCCCTGGCACAGAAACGAAACTAATTCCTACAAAATGAGTTTTCCTCCAACCATTTTCTCTGAATTCATCCTGTTTTAATCTTTTTATGTATGCTCAGGGAATCACTTAGAAAGCAGGCATGCACAAATTTAATTCTGAGTCTCCAGCCATTGCTTTCATTACCGCCACTACCTTGTAATCGAGGCAAAAGCCACACTATCTTCTTATACCGTTTTCCCTCTTTGTAGGTTTGCTCGCTCCCAAAGGACCTTTAAAACATCTAACTCGTCTTTATGACAAGCACATCAAATGCAAAGATCACAGCAGTGCCGTAAACAGGCGCAACAGATTTATATCAAACAAATGGTGAAGATAAAGAAGCAGAAAAAAAAAACAAACAAACAATAAAACAGACATTTCTCAATGACAAGCGCAGGTGACAACAAACAAACAATAAAACAGACATTTCTCAATGACAAGCACAGGTGACCAAAAAAACACACACACAAAAAACAGACATTTCTCAATGACAAGCGCAGGTGACAACAAACAAACAATAAAACAGACATTTCTCAATGACAAGCACAGGTGACAACAAACAAACAATAAAACAGACATTTCTCAATGACAAGCACAGGTGACAACAAACAAACAATAAAACAGACATTTCTCAATGACAAGCACAGGTGACAACAAACAAACATTTCTCAATGACAAGCACAGGTGACAACAAATAAACAATAAAACAAACATTTCTTAATGACAAGCACAGGTGACAACAAACAAACAATAAAACAGACATTTGTGCTAAAGAGCCCAGGGCAGCTCTTAAGTTTCAGACAACACAGACAAACAAAGTCTCACCCTGAAGTTGTGAAATGGTTTTCTCAAACTCTGCCACGATCATCCTGAAGTATGGACACAATAACACACGTAAGTATATCTCTATTAATATGTGTGTGTGTGTGTGTGTGTGTGTGTGTGCATGTGCGTGTAGTAATGTGGTTTCTCTTAATGGCACCCCACTCCAAGCCGTGGAGTCATACACAAATTTGGGCAGTAATGTAGATAAAGATGGGGAACTGATAGAGATATTAAAATACAAATACAGAAGGCAAAAGGAGCTTTCATAGCACTAGGGAATTTGTGGAGGTCAAAAGAAATTCAAACTGATACTAAATTAAAAATTTGTAATTCTAATGTCAAATCAGTACCATTGTATGGAGCAGAAACATAGAGAACAACGAAGGCAATTATCAATAAACTAAAAACATTCATTAATGGGTGCCTGTGCAGAACACATAGAGTTGAATGGTGTGACAGAATCGCTAATTTTGAGCGTTGGCAGAGAAATGAACAAGTTTCAGTCGACTAAAAGACACTGCCATTGGATAGGACATACGTGAGAAAAGCTTACAACAATAGAACTAGAATGTCTTTACAGTGGAATCCACAGGGGCACAGAAATAAAGGAAGCACCTCCCAAACAGGGTGAAGAAAGCTAGAGAGTAAGGTTATAAAAAGATGGAGAGGACATGGGGAAAGCTGCATGCGATAGCAAAAGATAAAACATTCTGGCATGTTGGTTGTGGGTCTATGCTCCACTGGGGGACAAAAGGCAGGCAAAGAAGTATATTTCACAGATGAGATACAAGATGTGTGTCTCAGATGAGATACAAGCTGTGTGTCTCAGATGAGATACAAGATGTGTGTCTCAGATGAGATACATGATGTGTCTCAGATGAGATTCATGATGTGTGTCTCAGATGAGATTCATGATGTGCGTCTCAGATGAGATTCATGATGTGTGTCTCAGATGAGATTCATGATGTGTCTCAGATAAGATTCATGATGTGTGTCTCAGATGAGATTCATGATGTGTGTCTCAGATGAGATTCATGATGTGTGTCTCAGATGAGATTCATGATGTGTCTCAGGTGAGATTCATGATGTGTCTCAGATGAGATTCATGATGTGTCTCAGATTAGATTCATGATGTGCATCTCAGATGAGATTCATGATGTGTGTCTCAGATGAGATTCATGATGTGTCTCAGATAAGATTCATGATGTGTGTCTCAGATGAGATACAAGATACGTGTCTCAGATGAGATACAAGATACGTGTCTCAGATGAGATAAATGATGTGTGTCTCAGATGAGATACAAGATGTGTCTCAGATGAGATTCAAGATGTGTGTCTCAGATGAGATTCATGATGGATGTGTCTCAGATGAGATTCATGATGTGTGTCTCAGATGAGATTCATGATGTGTGTCTCAGATGAGATACAAGATGTGTGTCTCAGATGAGATACAAGCTGTGTGTCTCAGATGAGATTCATGATGTGTTTCAGATGAGATTCATGATGTGTGTCTCAGATGAGATACATGATGTATGTCTCAGACGAGATACATGATGTGTGCCTCAGACGAGATAAAAGATGTGTGTCTCAGATAAGATACAAGATGTGTGTCTCAGATGAGATACAAGCTGTGTGTCTCAGAACGAACGAACAACCTTTATTTTCAAAGGGTTAAGAATTGGGCACGCAGGCCCGTCTGACATTCTGCCCTTCCACTCCGCTCCTTTCATACAATGCTTCATTTTTACCTCATTTCATAGTTAATAATAATAATAATAATAATAATAATAATAACAATAAAAAGAGGAATGCACAATTAAAAATTTGAGAAATATAGAAAAGAAACAAAAGAACAAAAAAAAAAAAAAGAGAAGAAAAAAAAAAATTACAATATCTAAGTCTTAATTACAAATGCTGGAATGTGCTCTAATTTATATTGACATTACTTGAACGTTTTAAAGAGTATAATAATAAGCCTGTTCCAAAAATGATGTAAGTCTTACAGGTTGCATAATATAAACATCATCAAAACCAATTAAATATTAGTTTCAAATATTGGAATGCATTCGACTGACATCTTCAGTTTTCAACAATAATAAGCTTCAGTTTTCAACCCCCACCAAGTTGCCCGACCCCCCCCCCCCCCCAAAAAAAAAAACCCGTTAATAAAAAATATATGAAAGCCTTAACATACTATAATCTTTTTAGGGGGGCATATTGTGCTGTAGTGAGATAATATTCAAATAGTTTCCGATTGTATCTAAAGGGGTTATTGATATTTTTTTATTTCCGGTGGAAGATTATTCCACAGCTGAGCTGCAGAGTACGCTAAGCTTGTTTTGTATAGGTCTATTCTAGGTTTAGAGATTTGCAATATGTTAAGGCGTTTGCTATGTCTTCCATTGTATTTAAATAATGGCCAAAGGTAACATGGAGCATTTTTATATATGATTTTCTTAATAAGTTTAGCTTTATTGAATAGTAGGCGTTCCTGGAGCGGTAATAGCATGAGTTCTTTATATAGGTGTGAACAGTCACTTTCATGACTATTAGCTATTAAACGAACAGCCCTTCTGTGTAGTGCTTTCAGCCGTTTGATGACTGAATTTGCACATCCATCCCATATTGTGGAGCAATAGTCTATGTGGGTCTGAATATGAGAAGTATAGAATAATTTCCTAGAGTTTTCATCCAGAAAGTTTATAATTTTTGCTAGTTGGTATACCTTTGTAGCAGTTTGCTTAACAAGTGTTTGCACATGGGAGTTGAAGGTAAGATTTCCATCGATGATCAGGCCTAAAGTTTTGTGCTCAGTTACACTTTCTACTGGTGTGTTACCTAGGTAGAGTTGAAGGGTTCTATGAGAATTTAAAGTGCACAGTTTTTGTCTTGTTGTTATTAACATAGATTTTGTCTTACTTATGTTGATGTGCATGCGGTTTGCGTAGCTCCAACTAACTACATTGTTTAATTCTTGTTGCAAAGACAACTCTAGTATATTACAAGTTCGAGCATTTGAATGGATGGTACAGTCATCAGCGAATAAATCGGGGGGGGGGGGGGGGGGGGTGGGTCTGATGTTTCACAGGGACCTCCTTAACTGACACATCCATGGTGATTGAGTCTGATGTTTCACAGGGACCTCCTTAACTGGCACATCCATGGTGATTGAGTCTGATGTTTCACAGGGACCTCCTTAACTGGCACATCCATGGTGATTGAGTCTGATGTTTCACAGGGACCTCCTTAACTGGCACATCCATGGTGATTGAGTCTGATGTTTCACAGGGACCTCCTTAACTGGCACATCCATGGTGATTGAGTCTGATGTTTCACAGGGACCTCCTTAACTGGCACATCCATGGTGATTGAGTCTGATGTTTCACAGGGACCTCCTTAACTGACACATCCATGGTGATTGAGTCTGATGTTTCACAGGGACCTCCTTAACTGACACATCCATGGTGATTGAGTCTGATGTTTCACAGGGACCTCCTTAACTGGCACATCCATGGTGATTGAGTCTGATGTTTCACAGGGACCTCCTTAACTGGCACATCCATGGTGATTGATGTTTCACAGGGACCTCCTTAACTGGCACATCCATGGTGATTGAGTCTGATGTTTCACAGGGACCTCCTTAACTGGCACATCCATGGTGATTGATGTTTCACAGGGACCTCCTTAACTGGCACATGTTTATCAAACACCTCAAGGGAAGTCTGTAGCCAATATTGCAGAGCATCATCCGGATCAGGAAGTTGATAAACATATCAGATGAGATACAAGATGTGTGTCTCTGATGAGATTCAAGATGTGTGTCCCAGATGAGATTCAAGATGTCTCAGATGAGATACAAGATGTGGGTCTGAGATGAGATATATGATGTGGGTCTCAGATGAGATACAAGATGTGTGTCTCAGGTGAGATTCAAGATGTCTCAGATGAGATACAAGATGTGTGTCTCAGATGAGATTCAAGATGTCTCAGATGAGATACAAGATGTGTGTCTCAGGTGAGATTCAAGATGTCTCAGATGAGATACAAGATGTGTGTCTCAGATGAGATTCAAGATCTCAGATGAGATACAAGATCTGGGTCTGAGATGAGATATATGATGTGGGTCTCAGATGAAATATATGATGTGTGTCTCAGATGAGATACAAGATGTGTGTCTCAGATAAGATACATGATGTGTGTCTCAGATGAGATACATGATGTGTGTCTTAAACACACCCTTTGTCTTTGTCTAGTGCTACACCATGAACCAATGAACCTAAGATCTGACACCAATGATAATATCATGCCTTCCCACTAATGATGGATGGAACAAACACACAGACACATAAACAACCTCATATCCTCATTGGTGTGCTTGACCTTGCGGTTTGTCTCCTCAAGGGCAGCAATCTTCTTGTCTCTCTCGGCCAGCATCAGACTCCAGTCTCTCTCTTTGTTCAGGAGACTGGCCTGAAAGTTGAGCTCCAAGTCCTGCTTCAGCTTGTTCCAGTCAGACTGAGAGTAGCGCAGCACCTGCCCACCAACATAAGTCATCATTATCTTTGCTCAGCTAGTTGTATATCATTCGAAGGATATATGTATCTGCATTTGTGCTTGCTAGGCAATTTGAGGCTTAGCTGTTTGCCACTGCTATCAGGTTATGCTCAATCAAATTTGTTGCCTCAAAGAAGTCTTGCTACCACATCTCTTACAGCTGAATCTAACTGGGTATTTTGTAATTATGAACTCTGTAACACCAAAGCTTCTGACTTTTTTGTAAATACATGAAAATATCAGGGAAGAAACATGACAGGCACACATATCAGGGAAGAAACATGACAGACACAAATATCAGGGAAGAAACATGACAGGCACAAATATCAGGGAAGAAACATGACAGACACAAATATCAGGGAAGAAACATGACAGGCACAAATATCAGGGAAGAAACATGACAGGCACAAATATCAGGGAAGAAACATGACAGGCACAAATATCAGGGAAGAAACATATGTTGGACACTGTAAACATGTGAGACAATCTGAGGCAGGTGGCCAGATCTTCATCACGACTGAATGATTTATCTCTGGGTGTTGTGCACATTTTATAGGATACATTGTGTGCTAACAATATGAGGATTACACAACATCCATTGATTCACTGACTGAAACATTAATATTCACAGGAAACAACTGGCCCAAGTTGAACTGTTTGTATTATAAAGAAAACAGTATGTACGTTCCCTAACTAACACAGAATGAGAAACACTGACTGCAATTTGTTACATTTTCCCACGGACTAAATATACATAACATAATGACTTCACATATTGAAAACTCTAAATTCACTTAAATTATTTCTTTGCATAAACTCAATTCTGCACTAGCAAATACAAGACAAGCAGCCTTTCCAGGCCAATGGTCTTTCAGATATATGATGCTAGGTTCATGTGTACAGAGAACAGTGAGCGCTCAGTGGATGATGTGGTCAACATCACACTGAACAACTTGACTTCCCAGGATGTACAGACCAGTGGATGATGTGGTCAACAAACATCACACTGAACAACGTGACTTCCCAGGATGTACAGACCAGTGGATGATGTGATCAACATCACACTGAACAACTTGACGTCCCAGGATATACAGACCAGTGGATGATGTGGTCAACATCACACTGAACAACTTGACTTCCCAGGATGTACAGACCAGTGGGCAATGTGATCAACATCACACTGAATAACTTGACTTCCCAGGATGTACAGACCAGTGGATGATGTGGTCAACAACACACTGAACAACTTGACTTCCCAGGATGTACAGACCAGTGGGCGATGTGGTCAACTGTGTTACTTGGTAGCCATTTTCGGTTGTGTCAACCTGGGAGCCAAGGTCATATTTTTAAAAGAAAAAAAAAACATTGGCCTAATGCCTTGGTGCCAGCAAGTAGAGTGTGTGTGTGTGTGTGTGAGTGTGTGTTGACATAATTAGTAAGCTGTGTATCCTTGACAGGGTGTTGCAGAATCAGCACCGCTGAATGTGATTTAACCAGGCAGTTTTATGCTCAGTAGTTTGCCATTGCTTGCTGAACAGACAGGGCTCTATGCCATAGTCACAATCAACACAAAATGATCTTCTGCCAAACGTCTGCAACTGGAGTAAAACTTAGAACTAGCTCTCTCCAACATAGCTGTCTGCCTCACAACCCAAAAGAAACTGACCACTGCTGGACAAGGAAGAACACTGCAGAAACTGACCACTGCTGGACAAGGCAGAACAATGAAGAAACTGACCACTGCTGGACAAGGAAGGACAATGAAGAAACTGACCACTGCTGGACAAGGAAGGACAATGAAGAAACTGACCACTGCTGGACAAGGAAGAACAATGAAGAAACTGACCACTGCTGGACAAGGAAGGACAATGAAGAAACTGACCACTGCTGGACAAGGAAGAACAATGAAGAAACTGACCACTGCTGGACAAGGAAGAACACTGCAGAAACTGATGTGTAATGGTCAGTTAGACTCATAGATTTCAACAGGGGTATCAAAAGGTGACTGTTCAGGAAGCAGAGCTAAACTACTGAGCCTAGTAAAATAATCAGAAATGGTTAGCAAATGCTAGGATTGGTTCTGCAGTGTCCTTCCTTGTCCAGCAGTGGTCAGTTTCTGCAGTGTCCTTCCTTGTCCAGCAGTGGTCAGTTTCTGCAGTGTCCTTCCTCTCAATCAAGGAAGACACAACTGACTTCATGTACAGTTTCTAATAAGGTACACATTAAATTTTGGGGTGTGAAAAACACAAATATTCCTGAGAACAAAAGATTTCAGTTATGGAAGCATCTATACCAAGGTTTGAGCATGTGACACCTGGAATTATGGGAGCATATAATGCTCAGGTTTCTAGAATGTGAAACAGCTTATTATGAATACATAAAATGGGACTCTACACAGAGACCACACCAGTTATTACCAGCAAGTAAACATCTAAGGCACACTCTAGGCATCAACTACACACTAATCACATTCCTAACTGAAGATGAATGCTTCCCACAGGACCTGTGATGTGCAGGTGTTAATGTGACAAACCGCCTCACACTGGTATGACATGACCTCACACAGTGTGCTCCAAAACATACATCCGCTCACAGCCAGCAAGCAGGACAATGAGTCACTGTTAATTTTACACACACAACCATCACCCCACAACAAGCATAGCATGAAACACACAATGTGTCTGCAGCAGAGCAGCACTGTGTGTTAACATCATGTGTCAGCACTGTGTGTTAACATCATGTGTCAGCACTGTGTGTTAACATCATGTGTCAGCACTGTGTGTTAACATCATGTGTCAGCACTGTGTGTTAACATCATGTGTCAGCACCAGAGCAGCAACTATGTGTTAACATCATGTGTCAGCAGCAGAGCAGCAACTGTGTGTTAACATCATGTGTCAGCACTGTGTATTAACATCATGTGTCAGCAGCAGAGCAGCAACTGTGTGTTAACATCATGTGTCAGCACTGTGTGTTAACATCATGTGTCAGCACTGTGTGTTAACATAATGTGTCAGCACCAGAGTAGCACTGTGTGTTAACATCATGTGTCAGCACTGTGTGTTAACGTCATGTATCAGCACCAGAGTAGCAACTGTGTGTTAACATTATGTGTCAGCACCAGAGAAGCACTGTGTGTTAACATCATGTGTCAGCACTGTGTGTTAACATCATGTGTCAGCACTGTGTGTTAACATCATGTGTCAGCACTGTGTGTTAACATCATGTGTCAGCACTGTGTGTTAACATTGTGTATCAGCACCAGAGTAGCAACTGTGTGTTAACATCATGTGTCAGCACTGTGTGTTAACATCATGTGTCAGCACTGTGTGTTAACATCATGTGTCAGCACGGTGTGTTAACATCATGTGTCAGCACTGTGTGTTAACATCGTGTATCAGCACCAGAGTAGCAACTGTGTGTTAACATCATGTGTACAAATGTTGTAGTATCTGCTGGAGAAAGCAAACATCATACAAATGTTGTTGGTTTTGTAGAAAATTGGTTAATGAAGAAGAAGATGGTGTTCAGCAACATGAAACTGACTACACTACGCAGCAATGGAAGTACTCAACTACTGCAATGACACCCAACCCCTCACCCAGTAAACAAGTGAGAAACCAGCTCGTGACACAGGTATGTTGTGACACAAACACACACCACCTATGAGATGAGGACACAGGACAATGATACAACAGGACAAAGATGAGACAAGACAGTGATGAGACCAAACTATGATACAAGAGGACAATGATAAGATACAATGGATGTTGACAACACAACCACACCTGATGCAATTACAGGTTAGGATTATCGTGAAATGTGAGCTCTCAAGAAAACATCTGTGCCACCATCTTGGCACCTGTTCTTATATGTCTTATGTTATACAATAATCATCAGTGTCAATGACACACTACACATTAGATGTCAGTGTAACTGACACACTACACATTAGATGTCAGTGTAACTGACACACTACACATTAGATGTCAGTGTAACTGACACACTACACATTAGATGTCAGTGTAACTGACACACTACATATTAGATGTCAGTGTAACTGACACACTACACATTAGATGTCAGTGTAACTGACACACTACACATTAGATGTCAGTGTAACTGACACACTACACATTAGATGTCAGTGTAACTGACACACTACACATTAGATGTCAGTGTAACTGACACATTACATATCAGATGTCAGTCTAATTGACCCACTACACATTAGATGTCAGTGTAACTGACACACTACATATCAGATGTCAGTGTAACTGACACACTACACATTAGATGTCAGTGTAACTGACACACTACATATCAGATGTCAGTGTAACTGACACACTACACATTAGATGTCAGTGTAACTGACACATTACACATTAGATGTCAGTGTAACTGACACATTACATACCAGATGTCAGTCTAATTGATCCAATCTGCTGCTGTCATGATCCAATCTGCTGTTGTTGTGGTCCCTTCTGCTGTTGTTATGATCAATTCTGATGTTATTATAATCCATTCTGTTGTGGTAATGATCCATTCTGCTGTTGTCATTATCCATTCTGCTGTTGTTATTGTGATCTATTCTGTTGTTGTTTTGATCTCTTTTTGTTGTCATGATCCACTCTGTTATTGTCATGAGCCACCCTGTTGTTGTCATGATCCACCCTGTTGTTGTTATGATCCACCCTGTTGTTGTCATGATCCACCCTGTTGTTGTCATGATCCACCCTGTTGTTGTCATGATCCACCCTGTTGTTGTCATGATCCACTCGTTGTCATGATCCACTTTGTTTTTGTCATGATCCACTTTGTTTTTGTCATGATCCACTTTGTTGTTGTCATGATCCACTCTGTTGTTGTCATGATCCACTCTGTTGTTGTCATGATCCACTCTGTTGTTGTCATGATCCACCCTGTTGTTGTCATGATCCACACTGTTATTTACATTATCCATTCCAGATGCAATAGGT